TATATATATATATATATATATGGTAACACTTTACAATAAGATTCTTTAGTTAACATTAATTAACTACTTTAGTTAACATGAACTAAGCATGAACAATACTTCTACAGCATTTCAACATTTACTAATGCACTTTTAAAATCAAAAGTTGTGCTTGTTAAGATTAGTTAATGCACTGTGAATTAAAATGAACTAACAATTAACTAACATTAACAAAGATTAATAGCTACTGTAATAAATGTATTGTTCGTTGTTTATTCATGTTAGTTAATGTATTAACTAACATGAACGAACAATGAACAATACATTTATTACAGTATTTATTAATCTTTTTTAATGTTAGTTAATGAGAATACAGTTATTCACTGTTAGTTCATGTTAATTCAGAGTGCATTAACTGTTAGTGTGTGTGTGTGTGTGTGTGTGTGTGTGTATGTATATTTATATTCATACTTTAATACATTTCAACTTAAAAATGATATCCCATAAACTTGTCTAGTTCAATGTGGTGTTTTTCAGCATGTTTCTTTGTGCACTGAATATTTGAAATGGAAATTCTCTCTAAACAAATAATCCATTGTTTAAAATAGATTTGTTTAAAAAAGACATGTCAGACATTCAGTTGATTTACACATTATCCTCTCAGATTCCGCTAAGTTGCGCTTATGTTTTACTTCTATGTTTCCTGTGTTTTTTTTTCAGCATAAGTCTGCTTCATAAAGTTATCAAATAAGCAAGCGTGTTCTCTTTAGTCATGGTTTGTGAGGGGAGCATATATACTGTCACAAAACACATCTTCATTCATTTAGAACAACAAACAGACATCATAACACAGTCCACAAGACTATGTAACTCCAGAGATAATGCCATAATTTGTATTCATTAACCAAGCAGGTTTGATCGTTCTATGTTTTAACTACTTGAGTATTATGGCTGTGAAACAAGCATCAAAGCACTGTGTGGGGGTATGCACAGTCACAGTGGTGAGAAAAGGAGAATGTTTTCTACAGAGATGCCTTGAAGGCTTTGTTAATACACTGACTGGAATAAATTCCTCATGCAAGGAACTCAGGTGCCACATTTCCTGTGCCGAGAGCCTTTTGAAACAGCCTTCCAGGTGAGAGTGAGACCGTGACTCAAGTTGTCTGCACTCGAGTCGTGAGTAAACATCATCTCGCTCTTGATCCTGCAGTAAGCCCAATAATGAGGCCAAGCACTAGGCATTAAGATCACAGAGCGCTCGTCTGCCCTCAGTCTCATGCTGCACAGATTTTTGACTCAGTTCCGTGGGAGATGAGAGCGTCTGCATGGGTGCCGTTAGTCATCACGGGATAGCAATCGCATTTACAAAAGGGGCTTTCTGAACAAACATGGTGTGCGGCCTCTCATGCAGCAGTTTTTTGAACGAATTGAATCAACTCAATTCAATGTCTCAGAGGCTTTATTTATTGGTTGCTGCCACCAAAGGATTATAAAATGTTAATGTTAATATGCAAAAAATAATCTATAAACTAATTTGTAAAGTGAATAGAATTAAATGCATCACAAAATATAATTTCCACTTTTAAAGTGTTGAAGCTGGTCATGAATTATTTTGCAGTTCATCATAACATTCACATTGAGTTTTAGGTTTTGTTCCTGTTTTGTTATTCTTTAAGCTAATTAGCAAATCAGCTGCAATTTCACTCCACAAACAGAAGTCCATCTTCAACAGCTTGTGCTTTAAAAATAGTTACTTTTAGTTACCTGTTACAGATAGTTTATAGTTTGCACATAAATCGACAGATATGAGAAATATAATTTCAGGAGCTCTTGTGCATCTTGTGGCGGTGCGCCGTGTGACCCCGTGACTGCATGGGTTGTGTTTTTATTTGATGCTTGGGAAAAGAGCACCACTTGGGTGGCTGGAGCCCTGGCAGAATCCCGAAGTCTAACTAACCTTTAATCCTTAATCCTCAACCCAAACCTGGTCCTATACTGCATTCATAAGCGTTTAGTTGTCGGATGTCTGTCTCAAACATCTTTAAAACCAAAACGTTACGATTTTCGTGTTGAATAAAAAAAAGTAGCCTACAGGTTTTACGTTATTCCTAATTAGTTGTGTCACTATTAAATCACAGTTACTTTATTAAATATTCGATACTTATCATAATGTTTCCATATTTTTAACATTAAACAAGGGTAGTCTGCAATACCTCTCGAATTGAGTCCAAATGCTGATTTCCTAGCCTTTCCCACAGTCATCTGTATACACGCGCATTATTAATCTTCGATACTTTACTGTAGGTCAGATAACAGCGAATGATTATCTGTTTTCAATTGTACTGTACTTTCGACTCTTATGTTGAAAGGTAAGGAGTGTCTTGCTTCCTTTATCATGATAAAGATTAAATAATTTTAGTGTTGGGCATGAAGTGCATAAAAAACCCCAAATTATTTTAATAATCGGGTGATCTATAAACGCCGTGTTGCCTGCTGCATAGTGTTTCTTTTAATCAAATATATTAACTGCCTGGGAAAAGACCATTATATCAATGAAAAAAAGGAAAATAATAATAATACGTATATATATATATATATATAGGCCTATATATATATATATACCACACACACACACACATAATAAGTCACATGGTAAAAACATTTTTTTTAAATTATACATCAGATTTCCTTGCACTGAGTTCAGGCCCAAAGTCAGATTATTGCTGAACTTTGATCTTTATTACAGGTAAGATGGTTATCATCAGCTCCATGTAAAACACCTTTCATATTTCGTTGCGATTGTCACTGTATAAGGAACCACTATGATCAGGTGAGTTTCGATGAGCTTCACTGTTATATATGGATATTTGTTTTCTTTAATCTAAAAGTATGAGCTTCTACACTCATGTTTTGTTTCCCACATTAAAGGTTTTCTGTTCTAGTCTGCCTATCAGTGCTGCTGTTTAGCACTTCAGCCAAGCCATACAGGCCCAGGGTAGGTTTCGCTTCTAATATGGACACTCTTAATTTACAGCAAAATATTTTGACTGTCTTAAGTTACAAAAGAAAAAAATAAACAATGGCTATAGTCGCTTTTAATTACAACTGTTTTTTACAAGGATTGCTGCCCTGACCCTTCTTGCCATTTTGAGCAAGATGAAAAGGATGTAAAGAATTTAATATTAATTTTAATTAACTTTCTAATATATAAATCTGTTATTTCTGATTAAGCAGCACCCTTTCATCATTTAATTCAATTACTTAAAATGATTTTTAAAAATAATCTATATGCTAATGTTTGACTTGTTGCTTTTACATATAAAAAATGTATAAATTAAAAATTTACTTTTAAATTTGTCCTGCAGGAAAAAGTGTTGGGCAGTGCAGTTCAGGACACTATAGTGTAAGTATTGTCTTGCCTTCTGCACACTGTAAAGGGTATGTCTATATATTCTAGGTATATATAAAATCTGTAAAAAAAAATTTGTACAAATCATTGAAATGAGATATTTGTTTTCCATTGGAGTTTTGATCATCCCAATGAGAAGATGATCCTGGGAATGAAGGAGGTGGAGCCACCACAGGACATGGACATTACAGATTTTGACATCAATCCCAACATGTTGATTTGGAAAGCCGTAAAAGAAGAAATACAGCAGAAATACGACAGACCTGAAGAGGATAAAGATGCTCTCTACCACTCCTTTGACATAAAACATCCAGCTGATGCAAAACAGCCTGAAAACTACTTTCAGCTACTGGAACACAATCCGGTACGGATGTCTGACAAACCAGAAGAAGATCGAGATGATCTATACCATGGCATGTTTGATGTAGCTGAAGAGCCAATGAGAGGAGAGAAGGATGTAATTGGAGGTAATGTCAAGCCCATGTACTCAAGCCCTGAAGTGGACAAAGACGACCTGTACCACGCAGATGTTAAAGGACATCAGTCTGACCAGCAGGCTCTTCCGATGAATATATTCCCCTTTCGCCCCAAAAGGGTGCACACAGAGCCAGAGGTAGACCTGGATGACCTTTATCATAAGCAATGATAGAATAAGTCATATCATGTCTAAAGGATTTTAAAACTGGATGTTAATTCATTATGCATATTTAAATGCTCTCTATTTTTTTTTAATCTTGAAATGTGTTTTAACCTGGTTTCTTTTTAATATAGCTAATATTGAACAGAAAAAGAAAGTTTATTGTATGTCTGTTTAGCAATTCATCAATACCGAGAAGACTGTGACCATAATTAATAGTTTTTTAATCATTTTAAAATAAATGAGTAAATGAAATACATTTTTTAATAAAATAATAATGAAAAAATAAAAAAAGTTGAAAGTATTTATTGAGGCAAAGTATAAGAAAAGCAAACATTTTACATTTCCATATTCCTAACGAGAGAACATTCACAGAGCTCAGTTCAGCTGTTAATTCAAGGAACAGTGGGCAACAAAATGAAATGCTGCAGGTGGGGATTGAGCTTCACACCTGTTGCCCAGGAAAAGCTACATTTGACCAGGTATATTTGAACTTTAAGATCAAATGTTTAAATGTTAAACAGAGCTGACTTTCATTTCACAAAGCTTTCATTAAAAAAAAAAAACGAAAATACATTTGATACAGTTGAAATGCATTTTCAAATTGTATTTTATTGTATGATTTTCTCTAATCTATTTATTAGAGAAATTGTCTTATTACTTATTTTGCATCACACTACAGAAAATATGAACAGAAAATTCTTTGAACTTTTTGAAAAATTATGAACTAATTTTTGTAATCAAAATCTAAACGGATGGCATTAAATTAATAACAAATATTTTTATATATACAATCTTTCTTTTATAAAGCTATTTTGTATATGCCTTATCTATAGGAATTTTGGTGTAATAACTCTACTAAACTGTACCAAGCAGCCTTCTTTCAGCGTTGTTCACCAGGCGGAATGACACCTTTCTTGATTATGAGATTTCCATACAGTGCAGTCTCCCTGTCAGACAGATTTAAAGATCATCTATTATTGTTATTATTATTTCTTAAATATAAATATAAGATATTTTAATAGTTAAAAAGACCCACCATAGATCATAAATAAAAATGCTCACCCAGTTGCCACTACAGCAAATGCCTTCTTAGCACGCTCATAAAATGCAAAACGCTCAACAAACTTGAAGTTACCCTGAAAGAAAAAAATTAAGACTGTTTGTTAATGTGATAATTAGTGTATGGTTTATAGATAGATAGATTTTTTTTTATTTGAAGTAAATTTGAAGTGAAATATTAAGATAATATTTTACGTCCTGGACAAATGATTTGTATTCCCTTTGTAAAACTAGGTTGGTCAAATTTAATTTCAGCAGTGATGAATAGTCCTCATCATATGAGTTATGACCTTTTATGGATATAATAGCTTACATCTGATCCTCCTTGTTTCAGGAGGTCAGAGTACTGGTCCCATACCGGCACTTTCAGCCCCTTTAATTTGTCACTCTGCACAAGGTCCATGACAGCTGCCTAACAAATCAGACCTTATTCAGTGACAGACACCACCTACAATTATGATAAGTTACATACATGAACAAACAGAGTGTACATTTGTGGTTGATCCATTAAAAAAATAAAAGATGCCAGAGAATGGTGCAAATGTTATCACCCACCGAATCCTCATAGGTATCAAGAGGAAAAAGCTTCAGTATTGCCTTCAGAAGTTCTGGTATACCTACACCTTAAAAAGTAAAACCATATACTTGATTAAACAACTAAATGCAAAGCTATCAGTGACAAAAATGTCAGTTGGCTGTTCAACTAATGCATATTAAGAATGATTTTGGGCTAAGTAGATCTGGAATTACAATAATAAGTTTATCACATTGTCAGATCATCATTACTTCTGTAAAACCATAAAAATTAGTGTGAGATTTCTTTCAAACAGTACAAGAAATGTGCAAAATCTTTTTAATATTTTTTTTAACTATGAAAGAGCATGTAATCATTTTTAACAGTTTTATTGTATAAAAATTCCTACTACATTTTGTAAAAGTTGACGCGACACATACCATCCGCTCTTATCTCCACTGGACCACATTTACAAATAGATGAGGTTGGAAAATTTGCGTCTGCAAGAACTAAAAAAAAAAGTCATACATGACAATCCATACACGGAGTTCATTTCTTATAACTATATTGCCCTGATGTCTGCGCTCATATGACAAACCAGATCCACTCAGTGCTACAGCCGGACAGAAAAGCGTCGCTTTTCAACATCAGCGGGAGTCGAATATGCGGATATGTGCTTTGGCTTACAGACAATAAAAATGTGACATTTTTATGAGAGACAGTCTACAAAGTTTTCTGAGTGACATTTTGATGATCGAAATGAAAGCGCAAGTTGCGGAGCGCTGCAAAAGCAGTATCACTTCCCGCGTTACTGCACGAACTAGGATTTATCTGTGGCGTTTTTAAATCGTATCTAACCCTGTATAAACCAATGACAGGATATATTTATCCAAACAGGTATATCGTCTTATAGACTATTCATCCAGATATCACATGCGTGACACAAGAACGTCAGGCTTCAGAAGGTTTGGCGTGACGTTCGTAAAGAGAAACATTGATCTGATTTCGTTTACGACTTACCAAGTTCATCTCCATGGCCCATTTGCGCCAAAACATACAATAATTCAGGCGTAAGTATGGACGGGATTCCTTTTAGTATAACCATTTCAAAGCAGTGACAGAACAAGGGAGAGTTTTTGGGGAATCATGTGACCCTTTAAATGTATTTCAATTGGTTACACACAATAAGAGCTACGTTTCTAACGCAACCTGCGTTTGGAATAGCCTACGTAATTTTCGTAGGCTACATCTGCGTACCCATGACAGCGTCAGTTTTTTTAAAAAACGATTTCTTTCAGATTTAAGCATGACCGGTTATGCATATATCTAATGTTACTTTCCGTTTCAGAATGAGAAGGCATATTCATTTTCAGCATTGCATTGGCATAAATGTATGAACTTGCTGTGTTATTTTCATAACCTCTTACATTTTCAGATACCCATGCAAATAATAAAAATTACAAGTTATCAGAAAGCGCTAAATGTACACTCACGAACAGAAATGGCCTTTGCGTGAGAGGTAACCATAAACATCCACTCGATCTGTCGATATAGCCTACCAAGTTTTATGGGTTTTTTAATAGGCCTAGTTGTTTTTGCATTTACATTTCAAAAACATACATAAATGATTAATTAGCAAATTACTATATCCATTAAAACTTAAATAACATCAGCGGCAGTGCTAGAGTAGCTTAAGTTACGAAACATGATACCTGTTTCTGATGCAGAAAAGCTAGTTCATGCATTCATGACCTCTAGACTGGAATATTGTAATGCACTGCTAGGTGGTTGTCCTGCATCTTCAATAAACAAGCTACAGGTAGTCCAAAATGCAGCGGCTAGAGTCCTTACCAGGTCGAGAAAATATGATCATATTACCCCAATTTTACAGTCTCTGCACTGGCTACCTATTAAATTCCGTATCAGTTACAAAATATTATTACTTGCCTATAAGGCCCTTAATGGGTTAGCTCCTGCGTACCTAACTAGTCTTCTACCACGCTAGTCTGGTCAGAGGAGAACTGGCCCCCCGACTGAGCCTGGTTTCTCCCAAGGTTTTTTCTCCATTCTGTCACCGATGGAGTTTTGGTTCCTTGCCGCTGTCGCCTCTGGCTTGCTTAGTTTGGGACACTTAATTTCCAGCGATAGCCTACCGTTGACTTGATTGCAAAGATACTATTTAAACTGAGCTGGATGTTGACATCACTGAATTAAATGATGAACTGTCTTTAACTGAAAAATTTGTTTACTATTGTCATTTTGCATTATTGAAACACTATTTTCCTAATTAATGCTGTTCAGTTGCTTTGACACAATCTGTATTGTTAAAAGCGCTATATAAATAAAGGTGACTTGACTTGACTTAACTGTAATATCCGTAGGCCTATACAGATCTTAAAATAGTGCATTAGCAGATTCTATCAACAGGTGTTTTCAAAATCATTATTTCACTTTATTACATGCATGATTTACAGGCCTGCAACGACCAAGCATTGTAATTTTGCGCACAGTGTGAACCATTAGGCTAACTTGATATAAAACTTAAGGTAATCTAAAATGTTGAGGAAAGATCCGTGTAGCTACTCAAGCCCATCATCTGCAGTGTGACTGAAATTACAACTCTAAACTGATTTTCAAAGATCCCCGGCCACAGGCCTTCTGCGCGTGAAATTGTACGTTATTGCTCTTGACGTTCGACAACGGTGTTAAATTAAATTCCCACAAGATCAAGTGCTACACAGTAAAGTATCAAATGTCTAAGCAAATTGTATTGTCATTAAGAAAAATGTGAGGATTTTTTCCCTATCAAGCTGGGACATTTATTTGGAAAAAAATTAATTAGAAAGCTACATGAAGTTAAACTCGCGCCTAAATGAAGAACGCCACCTAAAAGACGTGCAGCTGCTACTGATGAAGAGGAACTGCTGGTGATGTTGTTGTAATTCAGGGAAATTTGCTCCAAAAGAGGTGTGTGGAGGCTTTGCAGCTGTGAAATGTAGAGTGAAAGTGGAAAGATGGAAGACTGACGGAAGAAAAGACATTCGGAGGAGCCAAGACTGTCTGATCAGTTCAAAGCGCTTTTCTTTTACTGAGGAACCATGCTGCTCCCTCTTTGGTTCTGCTGTTTAAAATGAGTTTATCACGCTATGAGGAGCTGCCTCTGCCAAAATGTAACGTTTTGCCCCTTTTGTCTGCGCTGAGCGCCTCAATTCGGTCTACATTTATTATTTTGACCTTTCGTTAGCAGGGGATAGACTTCAAAGTGGAACCTCTCTTTTGCTGTCTTTAAGGAGACCTTTGTGCTGTTGCGGTATGTGGAGAGAACTTTTTTTCTCCTCTTTAAAAAGTTTTGTTCCAGGGGCTGAGAAGAAAGCTGGAGTCTGAGGGAATATTGAATGAAAATTAAAATCAATTAGGCTATGGACGTTTGAGAGCGCTTGGAAAGACGCCGTGCGAAAAAAAGCCGAGATTTTTAAGTGAGAAAATGGTCCGAGTTGATGTGCAATTGAGATGAATAGGTTCTTCCTTTAATTACATTTGCTGTGGTCCTTCTGGACGCTGTAGGCCTATTTCACATTAAATAGTCAGTGTTTAATACGTAAAAGTGGGTTGTAAGTTCTCTGGTGATCTTTAACCTGACAACTGATGAAAGTTATGATTAAGCGCATTTCACTTATTCATCAGTAACTAGAAAGTTTAGCGGTTTAGTTAAAAAAACTGCGACATTTCATAAATTAATTTGCATTTAAGTTATTGAAAAACGAATAGGCCTACAAATGGCAAGTTATTTAAGTAACATTTAAAAAAATTAAGATTAAAAAAAATATATTGTTATTATAAATCATCGTTTCAATAGAGTGATATGTTAAAACGTAGGCCTATGTGATGACCTGGTTTCTAAGAACTAAGTTAGATGATTTTTTAAAAGAGTTTTTGCTATATGTTGATCCTGTCGTTGGTAATAAACAAACTTCGCTATGCCGCACGAAACCTGCATTGCGCTATATTTATAAACACTATAATTCGTAGTGTCCCCCAAACCCCTATTTTGCACTATATCAAATTAAAACACTTAATAATATTACATTACACCTAAATTATTTAGTCAAATATCAGATATATAATTTTAAAAATATCACTACAAAGATATTAGCCTACTACAGCGACTTTATTACCTCAATGATAAGCTGAACGAGAGACTGAAAATACACCCACAGCACCATCTAGAGTGTACAAAGTGGAATTGCGAGGTCTCACGTCTTTTCCCAATGAATTTCAGTCAAATAAAGGGCCATATCAACATACAAAGTCAAATCAGAGGGGTTCTGCAAAACTTTGAACAGTGTTGTACAGTAATTACAAACAGTTTAGGAAGGTTGTGGCAATGGCATTTTCTCTCTCTTAACTGTTAAAGTGTAAATTAGCACAAAGCATAAACGAGTTACTGTACTGGCTCTATAGAGTATCAATAAAGAAGGTTTCAAGGTGATAATACAAGACCATCAACAATACCCAGACATTGATTAGAAATGGGTAATGTATAAACTAAGCTAAATGTAAGCTCATTGAACTACATGTAAGTCTGTCAACCCAAAGGTATAGATTGTGATGTTTTTCAGAAACACTTGATGAGAAAATTAAGGCAAAGCAGAGTACTATAACAACAGCATTTGATCACAAACTAAACACCTCAGTATTTTCCACTGGAATTTTAATTGTCCTGGAAAGCAGCCTTTCGCTTCTCGACAAAAGCAGTCATGCCCTCCTTTCTGTCCTCCTGAAAATTAGAACAGAGCAAGTTCAAGAATTAAGTAATCTTTTTCCTCAAAAAAGGAAATGAATAAGTGGAAGAAAAGTGACGTACCGTTGCAAAGGTTGCATGGAACAATCTTTTTTCAAGTCGATTGCCCTCAGCTAAACTCAGTTCAAATGCTGTAATTAAAGGTCAAATAAAACTGTCAGTTTCTAAATGAATGCACAGGACTGTTTGTATTTTTTAACTCCATGAGACTAATGTAAGTCATTCATGAAACATGAGCAGAATATATTTCAACAATAAAAGTATCAACTATCTCTTTAATGAAACTCTTACCTGCGTTAACAGCTTCCTTTGCCATTGCTGAGACAAGTTTGGAATTGCCAGCTATTTTCTCTCCACATTTGATCGCTTCTGAAACCAGCTGATCCACAGGAAACACTTTACTTACCAGACCTATGAAGATGAATACATTATAGTCCACTTCTTTAAGTGAGAGAAGAAGAAAGAACCTGTAGTGTAGGGCAAAAGAAAGTTTGAAAGACAAACCAGACTGTTTTGCCTCCTGAGCTGAGATTCGGTCTCCTGTGAGAACCATCTCCATTGCAAGGGATTTTCCCACTGCTCTTGTAAGCCTCTGAGTGCCACCAGCACCTGGAGCCAAAGAAATCGTGTCATTTCAGCTGCCTTGTTTTTTTTTTGTTTAGTATTCCCTTCCCATTCATAATTATTCTTCAACAATGAATCAACATAACCAAAAAACTGATGCGTTATTGTACCAGGAATGGTCCCGAGCAGGATTTCTGGCTGTCCAAACTGTGCTTTCTCCCCAGCATAGATTATGTCGCACATCATGGCAAACTCACATCCTCCACCAAGCTGGACAGGACAATAATTTTATGTTTATGCTTGAGTGGGAATAAGGTTTAAACAGTCCTTCTAGTGAATGCATTTAAATCATTTACCTACCGCAAACCCATTGACAGCAGCAATAACAGGCTTTTTGACCGTTGATACCCTATTCCAATGTGCCAAGAAGTTTCCACCATAGCACTCTTGAAAGGTTCGATTCTGCATCTCTTTAATATCAGCTCCAGCTATGAAAGCAAATGGTTCAATAAAACACAATCAATCCGAAACAATTCTATATAACACACAACTAATTTCACAGACAGTTTTTACACCTGCGAAGGCTTTTTCGCTTCCTGTGACGACAACTGCTCCCACTTCGCTGTCAGCCTCAAATGCATCAAGGGCTTTGCCCACCTCCATCATAAGCCCATCACAAAGAGCATTCAGGGCCTTTGGTCTGTTCAGTTGGATGAAACCAACATTCTTCTTTTCACCCTTTTTGTCAACTAGTATGTACTGATACTGGCCACCTGCAATAGAGATGAAGGTGGGGGTCAAATGAACTCACAATGGATCCATGCTATTTTTTTTTTTTTTAATACTATAAACCAGTATTGATTTGGCATATATCACCTCAGAGTTCACAAGCTGTCATGGCTTTTTATTTTGGAGATATCTCTACTATTCGCACTATTATTATTTTATTCTTAAATATGTTTCAACTGTAAACAATCACACAAAAAATGTAATTGCAGCTACTATAAAGCTCAGTTTTTCCATTATTAAGTAGCAGGTACTACTAGTACAACACATTCAGCAGTAACAGAACCAGCGCAGGCAAATGACGCAAGTTTCCAACCAAAACAAAACTCGAGAGTGACATTGAAAATGAAGCCATTAATTTTACGGAGACATTATTTCGGTTACCTGAACTGCATTGCCTTGTTGCTGCGAATGCAGAGGGTAGCAGTTTACTGTGTTTGAGAAGTAACCCTGTGGGTCTGCAGAGCAGCGCCATGGCTGTGTGGGGTCAACGGTGACTGCGACGCTGGAGTCGCGCTGGTTGGCTCTCAATGGATACGTCACTGCGCAGTCAGGATGCCAGATACCCCTTCAGTGATTCCACAATACCCTCTTTCAAAGAGGTTTAAAGAGTTAATGGTTTTATATTCCCTTTTTAATACTTTGGTTAGATCTCGTTTTAACACAAGTATTATATAGAAAATAATAGATGGCAACGGTACGTTTTTGCGCGTATAGCTCCCTCTATTGGTCACTTTTGTGAATGAACTTCGCATTGTGCCAAATGTACTGCCCTTTTCTGTTTTTGTATTGCCAGCACAAAACAACGGCTGATCAGTATGGAATTATTTTTGTCAATAAAAATGAACGTAACTGGCCTGTTTCGGTAAGTGTCATTAAAGAATTTAAGTCATTAAAGAAATAGTTCATCGAACATGGTTTAGATTAGACTTGCATGAGGAGTCTATAAAAACAGAAAATTAAGTAGATTTTTTTCTGTAGAAAGATATTTTGAACATTATCTCAGCTGTTCTTGTTGTCTATATAATTAAAGTCCATGCGGTCGTTCAGTGATGATGTCGGGATCAATTAATCCCTGCAGAATAGCAAGGCTCTGTTCAGATAAAGGGCATTGGATCTCTGGAACCACCACACCATCTTCTGGGTCAGTATCAGAAGTTTGCTGCTGAAACAGTTGCTCTATTATCTGCAAAATCAAAGAAATATTAAGTAGGTCAAAAAATGCCAACTGTTTTGAAATACTGGCAATGACTTGCATTCATGTTGTTATAAACTCATGTAACTTTGCTCATGTTCAAATCTTGTATTAAGATGTGTTTTAATTTATACAAATCACAAGTGGTCAAGTAAGGCACATTTACAAAGGGAAATGAAAAACAGTTAAATATGCCAAATACCTTAAGATCCACACAAAAAAATAATTCACACAGGTTTTTAATTAAATAAGGGTGAGGAAATTAAGAATTTTATAGATTATATATAGATGACATTATATGATTAAAGAATACCTCTACATCTGGCTCAACTACTGGTGTCTGCAACATTCCGATACACCAAAGCTGATTTGGTGAAAGATTTCCTTTGGTTCTGACAGGATGGTTGTTCCAGCTCCCAATGAAGCACTTCAGGTCAGATTTCAGCCGTGGAAGAATTGTGTAGTGCACACAAAAGAGGTGTAGTTCATTTGATAGATCCAAGCACTCCATCTTCTACCATTGCATGCAGGATTTCATAGTATTTTGACAGTGACAGCTGACCAAACATCACACCACAGACGCTCAATTCTTTAAAAAAACAACAACAAAAAAAGACTTTTGTTCAGCATGCTTACAAAACAGCAAACACTGTATTGTAATGCCACACATTAACATGCCTAATAACCCAGTAATGGTCTAACGGCCCCTTTATTAAAGCTACTTAAAAGTTCTAGTTTAACTAAAGCCTACTGCTGGCTTAATCTAAGCCCTATCTGTGAAACCAGGCATTTAAAGCGGTAGTTCACCCAAAAATTTAAATTTACTCACCATTTACATACCCTCCACTTGTTCCAAACCTATATGAGTTTCTCTCTTCTGCTGAACACCAAAGAAGATATTTTGAATAATGTTGCTAACCAAACAGTTGACAGCAGCCACTGATTTCCATAGTAGTTCATGTAGACCTGTAATTAAAGCTTCTGGGATGTTGACATGATTTGATGCAGTAATTGCCAAATCCAGTTCTTGCTGAGCAGTATCCAGGAGGTAATCCAAATCTAAAGTCAATGGCTACCATCAACTGTCTGTTTACCTAAAATATCTTCTTTTGCATTCAGCAGAAGAGAGAAACTTATATAGGTTTGGAACAAGTGGAGGGTGAGTAAATTATGGCAGTTTTCATTTTTGTGGGAACTATCCCTTTAAGTTTCAAAACAGAACAAAGTCAGAGCTTGACCAACAGTACCTTTCTTGAGAAACCATCAATCCCACCAAATGTCACAATATTGAATCTAAAAAACAAAAATATGAACATAAGACTATGCTGTTTGTTTGCAGTCATTTAGTTTAGGGTATATCTGAAGGCATGTTTAATGTGTGTACATGTGTCATTATGTAAAGAAAAAAGTAAGATTTTCTGTATATGTGTACATGCAAGTGAGTGTAAGAGAGAAAATATTCACGTGATTAGCTTATGGTTGGTGTCCACATGAACTAGGGACAATGGTGCAGGAACAGAGTAACTTCTGCGAGCTATAAAACCAAGCTGAACCATTCTGGCCAAAATTCCAGCTCCATCCACCTGTCGCATAGAGGCCTTCATCCTGTGCCACTGTATCTGGTGCCCTCTAGCCAAAAGTTCACCTTTCATTAGTCTGTAACCAGCGTGTGGCATTCTTATTTTTATTGATCTCACAACATGATCAAGTTCTTCATCTGATATGTTGGAATAGCAGGCTCTGATAGACAGGGTGTGTTCCTTCAATCTTCTGTTTATTGTGCTTCTAGAAACGCCACAGATCCGAGAAAGATGTTCTACAGGGAGAGCAGTATGAAGGAGTTCCTCAAGGTCATCCCTTCTGATATCCAAACGTGGGCGTCCGACGTTTCCCCAAGTGCAGGTTACAATATCAGATGCAGTTGTTGAAGTTTCTTCAGAACTTACATTTACATGAATTATGTTGATTAGCTCCTGTAGACCCATAATTAAAGCTTCTGGGATGTTGACATGATTTGATGCAGTAATTGCCAAATCCAGTTCTTGCTGAGCAGTATCCAGGAGGTAATCCAAATCTAAAGTTTCATTCCGAAAAATCAAGCTAAACCTTGTCAGCATATGCTGTAAAATGTCTTCTTGCACTTGTTCCTGCAGATATAAACAATGCCTAGTAAGCATTAATGTGTAATTAAAATCCAATAAAATCTTAAAAAACAAACAAAAAAAACAGCCCCTTTAGGATATTTAAGTCAATATAAGGACTAGCAAACCAGTTTTACCCTATTAAGCTTTATAATTTATATACCATCATTCAGTGCCTACCTGGAAAAGTGACATTTGTCTTTGGTCCTGACAAGTAGCATTAAAAGAAAAGAAGATTAGGCAAACATATTATTTCTATTTTATATTTATATCTATACACACTGTATCTTGGTATACATAAAAAGTTTTTAAACAATAAATCAATAAAACTTTATCAAGTTTTTAAACAATAAATGTGTCAAATAAAGCCAGAACTGTTGCACACTGTACATTAATAAAACTTTTATCGATGTTATTGATTACTTTATTAACACGACCTTACTTCAAGCTGCCTTGAGGGACAAGCTGAGGAGGAAGATGATGCCGCTCCGTGTCTCTCCTGAGAGCTCATCTTTACAGACCAAGAGACGACCGAAGGACAAATATTATTACATACTTAATAATATAAACAAAGCACGACGTATTGCACACAAATCACCGCGACAGCTTTCCAATATGCGCGCCCCACTGGGTGACGTCTGTACTTCCAGGTCAGAGAGCAGCTGTCCATCAAAAGCTCTCTAGCCAATCAGAGTAGATCGCTGTTAAGCCCGCCCCCACGAGAGGTTTGTGTCAAAACAGTAAACGAAAATTTGCGAAGCGTAAACGAAATCTGTGGCAACGCATTCAAAATGCACGATTTGCAAAAACGAATCTTTGAAAATCATTAACAAAGAATGAAACATCTTTGAAGAGCATGTTCAATTTGTGCGACTGAGTTCATTTTTTCATTTTCATTGTGTTTTTCTTCTTTTGTAATGGCATATTTTTGATAGTTTCAGGAAAAGTTACGTTCAGTTTTATTAAGTTACGTTCATTTTTATTGACACAAAAATAATTCCATAGTAAACCGCCAAGCGGTTTTAAAGATCAGGGGTGTATTTCAGAAAGCCAGGTTAATTTACCGTCACATATACCCTGAACTCTTGGTTGATTAACCCAAACCTTGCTTACTTGATAACTATTCGATAACCATTATATATGACAATAAAATAAATATAATAACATTAGAATATAATATTACCTTATTTATTACTTATAGTGCTTTCTAATTAACATATGTAATATTTGATAACTATAAAAATATATAATATTGTGCGCAGTCCGCCACGCCCACTGGAGTCTCGTCAATAGGTCACGCATGCGCTGATAGCTCTGAAGCAAACTAACCCTGAAACATGACCTACTCCTGACGGAGCAGGTCATGTTCAGAGAATAATTAGCTACTTACATATACTGAACGTTACCTGTGTTTTTGGAACTGAAAGCTGAGTTTATCCGCTTACTAACTCACCCTTAAACATACCCACATAACCTGCTTTCTGGAATACCCCCCAGGTCAAGCTTATGTTCAGTGCTTACACAGGACACATTAAAAGACTTCAGAATCTGTTAAGTTACTGATTTATTGGTCTGCAAATCCATTATAAAAGTACCGAAATTCATGGAGGTTACAAAATTCACAAAATACAAAATATCCAAATCTTACCTTTAAAATCAAAACACAGTGCATTGACATTAACTAGTTTATGATTATCCAGATGACAAATTTTAAAAACAGAATTAATCACCACAAGTGTACTTTTAGGTATTTGTAATGCACATTTTTATTCACGCATACACTTTTTTTCACCCAAATGTTTCCCTTTAGTTGTACTATATATACACACTGAAGTATTTTACAGGGGATTCTTGATGACAAACATTTCATACCTTAGCAAATTATGGATTTATTGTTTGTTTTTATTGATTTAGTTTCAATAGGAGCACTTGTACCATACATGAAGTGCATTACAAAAAGAATAAATAAAAGGGCAAGTCAAAATTTAACTCAGCTGGTGTAAATCATTAGTAAGAATACAATTTTAGATCCCAAACACCAATGCCATATTTCAACAGGCACATTTCTGATAAATACCAAGTTTTGAAAAGCACACTGAACCAACTCTGCAACCAACTGCAGGTTTTAATCCATGAAATTGATTGTGCAACTACATCCAACAACACAAACTACCTCTAAGTAATGGGCCACTTTAGAAATACATAAACACGTCTGAAATATTCTCTTTAAATAAAAGAACTGGCATATTAAGCTCTAAAAACAAAGCTCTGAAAAGGAAAAAGAAATGTGTACCATGCTACCTAGAATCTAAAGAAATCAACTAAAATGTTGATGAACTGGTAACCAGTGAAAACTCAGACTAAATATCACATTCACCATACAAACACTCTTTAGTGTTAAGACATTGCAGTAGCAAAAAATACATATAGTAAAAACAAATTAAGCATACAGAGGCCCTGTTTAATATATGTACATCCAAAGTTTGAAGGCTTCATAACAGTAGTTTACAACCAGGACATTCATTTTCAACCCTCATAAATGTGAACCAGTTTGAAAGATTGGTCATTTTGAGATACAAGACAAGAGACAGCAATAAAGATGGAAGCATTAGAACTGGTATCAGTAATCGGGACTATTAGTAGGATCATAGGGAGAAATGCACAGTTTGTTAAAACGTCAATAAACTGTAAGTCACTTTGGATAACAGCGTCTGCCAAATACATTAACAAAATCTATGAATATACTAAAGTTTCTTGAAGCATAGTCAACACTATTTACATTCTCTCCTTATGTTCTTTCTCACCTGTAATTTTTGTAAATACAGATTCTCCCTCCCCATTTTTCAGTTATCCAGGTGTAATTTTACACACATTGTTCAGAGACTAAATGATGCTCAGAATGGTCAGCATTTAAATGTTAAAACAGCAGCAGACAGAATGAAGCTCACAACTTACTGATTTAGCAGTTAAATAGCAATTGTGTTAAGTGTATCACATTGGTCCAGATGACCATGTTTCAGTTGCTTAGTATGTCAAATAGAAGTGCGTTTGCCACAACATGTCAGATGGGTGTGTGGTCAAGGACCATATTGCTTGTGCTGCCATACCGATTCTCAATCTCAATTAAACAAAGTCTGCACGAGTTTGAGAGACAAACAACTGCAGAGGAAAATCAGCCAAGTATAAAAATGACCTACTTCACATTAAATGTACAATACCTTATTTAGCTGGAGTTTTCTATCAGAAGTACCTTCTCAGCAGAGTAAGGATCTTTAATACAAGTTTCCTATTGCACTCAATCTCAATCTTCTGACTTCAATGTTGACCAGACTATGATGTGGACAAATGTTTTTTGGCTGGTCTCAAGTACTCTCTGGCATGTAATAGCATTATTCCATCACATGAAATTCAGTCAAGTTAATCGACCAGTAAAGCACACAAAAACAGCAGCCCTTCAACTTCATTCGTCACTGCCTCTATTTCAATGAGTTCCAGGACACAGACTGAGTATAAGTATAATATTAGAAAATATTACAATAGCCATAATTGACCATAATACTGAATATACAGTAATACTGATTAATAAGAAACATTCCTGACTCTGTCACTACAGCACAGGGAACATTCATCAACACAAGAATTAATGTGACAGTAGTACTACATACACCACCGTTCAAAAGTTTTGGGTCAGTAATTTTTTTTTAAAGGGGTCATAGGATGTGATTTCAAGTTTTCCTTTCTCTTTGGAGTGTTACAAGCGGTCCATGAATAGATAAGATCCCTAAAGTTGCAAAGACTAAAGTCTCAAACCCAAAGAGAGTTTTATTTAACTTTTATTCTTTGTAAAAGTTAAGACTGGTCCACGCCCTCCTAAAACGCCTCGTTTAAACACGCCCCCACATGTCTATGTCACGATGTGGGAAGATTTGCATAACACCGCCCAAATGTTCACGCAAAGAAAGAAGGCATAACTTTATTGTTGCTACCACCGCCGCCGCCATGTTGTGAATACGCTGTGTGTTTCGTTGGGAAAGCGAAAATACTTTGTTTGGCCTTCCTAAAGAGGACACGACTAGAAATCAGTGGTTAAATTGTATTTACAACACTGTTCCAGAACAGTTCAACCCAAATATTCAGATGTGTGCAGCGCATTTTATGGAGGACCGTTTCCTGATCCTGGGAGAGTAGACAACAATGCCGGCTATTCTGACTCACAGACTGCAAGTACGTTTTCATATTTAAAGAATTTGCCACTGATGATTCAAAAGCGAGTTTTGGGCAGTGTAGAGTAGGGCTTGTTGTTTGTCATTTCTCCGATCACAAATGCAGACATGGTTTTATGTTTACGCGGCGCAATACGCAATGCGTAAAAAGACAGTACAAGTCATTATTATCCATAATTATGTCCCCACTGGATGCAACAAATGCCTCGTTTATAATGGGTTTTATTGTTTTTGTCTCGTCGCTCCGGCCGGGACACGGCATCACAATATGGTAGGGGCGTAACATTTCAGTCACACACTTGAGGTATTCGGCCAATCACAGTGCACTGGATAGCTGGCCAATCAGAGCACACCTCGCTTTTCAGACCGATGAGCTTTGTAAAAATCGACACGTTTCAGAAAGGCGGGGCATAGAGGAGAAACAATAATGTACAGTATGTGGAAAATAATGTTGTTTTTTTTTAACCTTAAACCGCATAAACATTTAATTACACCAAATAATGTTCTTTTTAGCAATATCATATGACCCCTTTAAAGAAATTAATACCACTTAATATCACAGTTTCCACAAAAATATTAAGCAGCACAGATGTTCTCAGCATTGATAATAATAAATGTTTCTTGAGCATCAAATCAGCATAACAGAATGGTATTTCTGAAGGATCAAATGAAAATTCAGCTTTGTCATCCCATCACAGGAATAAAAAAAGTTAATTTAAATTGAAATATTTCACACAAACAATATTATTGTTTTTACTGCAGTTACAATCAAATAAATGCAGTCTCAAAAACTAAAAAAAATAAATAAAAAAAATCCCAAACTTTTGAATGGTAGTGTACATATATGCATGTCATGAAAATGAAGCAAGAAGTGTTTTTTTGGATACTGTAATGTAATAAGTAGCAATAATAATCACTGCTATCATACTAATCCAATCCTACAAATGGAAGTTGAGCAGAAGACAACCGAGTGGACAGCATTGTGGGTGTACAGGGCAGAGGTTCGGAGCAAAAAGCACTGCTGAATACAGGAAATATGCTGACCATTCATTTTGTGTTTATATTAAGAGGAGTGACATTATGAGTACGAAGGAGGAGGAGAGAATAATAGTTTCTTTTTGAAGACTGAAGACGCTCACTTTACACCCACAGCTAAGCTATTACGAGGCCTATCAGTGGATGACGGTACATTCAAGAAACAATTCAGCCCTATTATACCTGCTCCTTCAATTTTTTTACGAGGTGCTTATAATAAAGTGTAAACAGATAAGCAGAGTTATTTTTTTGCAAAACTGCAGCACTGAAGTCATTCCTCACAGAAAACAATGTAATTAAACATCTGTGTCCAAAAGCAATAATTTTGTTGGTTTGGTTGTCAATGATTTAACATTATACTGTTGTACTTAAATACTGTGCTGGCTTGTAAGAGAATGACTGGATGATCAAATTTCCTAAAATAAAAAAGTCCTCTACCTCAATAAATAATCCTCATGTGACATTCTACTAGGGCTGCCCTTGACTAAAGATTTTTCTAGTCAATTAGTAGTCGTTCATTTTTAGCAATTAGTTGACTAATCGCATGTTTATATTAATAAACCATATAATTCATAATAATGAGCCTTTAACTGCCTATAGCCTATCAGTGCTCAAGCGCACACATAAAGCTTGCCACAGCACACTGGCAGAAAAAATGATGAATGCGTCAGGGGGAAAAAACAGCAAGACTGCCTTAACATAATAATAATTAATTGATAAACAAGTGTTTTCTGTATTTTCAGCTGCAGCAATGAAGTTGCCGACACCGACTTGTCATCTCCACAGTGGACATGCACGTTTCATACAGATTACACAATCTGAAATATTTGTTTTCCATTTGAATTGGATCATTAAAAAGTAGAAATTGAAATTTCTATAGATATATTTTTCATGTCTGTGTGGCAAGCACAGAGTTTCGGTTAATTTGTTTTTTTTACATGCTCAAGTTCACAGAGCCCTAGATGGCAGAAAGCGCACCCTGTTTGCTTTCATTATTTTACAAAAGCACAACGTTTTGTTGTTATTGTGAGTGCACTGCACACAAATACAAGTAAACCTTTTACAAATTCAAAAGATGTATTGCTCTGTAAGAGGCTAAGAGCAAAAATGACAGTATTAAGTTAAATGCAAATGATCGCACTGGTGCCTCCAAGTTAACTGTCATGCAGTGAGCGCACTACTATTCAGCTTCCACACGCCACAAACACTTGAATAGCACACATTTTTCTGGGTTAACGTTAGAGCAAGCAGCCATGTTGCTACTACTTGCATGTTTTAGATAAGCCACATTTGAGGTTGATGAACGAAACAAACATTTTGATGTCTTGATGTACTGTAATTACGACATAGACCAGCTGTTAATAATCTGTCCGCCACGCCACTACGTAACTTCACCACTTCCTGTGGATTTTTTTTTTCTTTCCTGCGACTAAGCGATTAATACATTTTTGATAGACTAAGCCTCTTCTTGTTGACTAATGGTTAGTCGACTATTAGGGGGCAGCCCTACGCTCAACAAAATTTCAGTGTAACATATATATTTCCCAAAAATGAATAGTTGCAATGAACAGACACAGGAAAGGAAATGTGCGCCATTTAGAAGTCTACCATAAACCCTGCTACACAATTTGGATATAAAATAACATCTTCCTTCCAAAATATTTTAATTATTAAGATTAAATAATGCAAATAAAACCCAGGTGGAACGGCAAATGCTGAATCTGAGATCTTAGAGCCAAAGCATTTCAGAGTATCTAATAATAATTTAAAGCTAATTTGTCATCAGAATGAAATGAAGTAAAATTAACTTTATCTGATTTCCTGAGTTTTGGATCATTTTGAAACTACACTGCTAGACTACAAGCAGAAGTACATTGGCAGTGTCTATGGAGAGCAGCTAAATCCCAGTGGCGTATGTTACTGCCACAGAGTGCATATCAAAGTGAGCAATCCCTGAAAAATGACTGAAGCTAAACAAATAAGCTACAATGTGACACAAAGACACTGGAAAACACACATCTGATATTGCAACCATTCACCAACCGGTTATGATACAATACTCAGAAATCATTACAATTCTAGGTTGGAGGGCAAAAGAAAAGTGAAAATGCAGATGTTGTTGATGTCTTTGTGAGAGCTGCGGCAAACGCACAGGTGCAGATGGTCACCTGTGAGAAGTCCTTTCTGGCGTGTGCGCAGGTGTGCTTGGTTAGCCCAGCTTGGTGATCTGAAGACTCCCAACTATCCGGATCATATTAATGGCCGGCAAAGACTTTACTTTGTGATAAAAGTCAAAGAGCTGGTGTCCATCCACAAAGATCCTAAAACGCTGGTGCTCACAATGGATCTCAATCTGTATAAATGTGGAAAGGAGAGGAGAGAAAGAGCAAAATGAGATCAAATCAAAAGAATCCTTTGTCAGTCACTGAGAGGCATTGTGGACAATGTGTTGAAAGGAAGTACTTGTCTTACTTTGCATGACTGCTTATCTCAGCTCAACATTTGCAAACAGTGACCCATCTTTTGGTTCGCCTTCAACCCCAATTACAAACAAACTCTCTGCCATACAGAATAATTCTGTAATTGGCTATACAATTTTTTTTCAAGATTATTTGATGACCGGAAAGTTCAAAAGAATTTATTAAAAATAAAATTATTTGTAACAACACCTTTACGGTCACATTTAATCAATTTAATGTATCCCTTGTGAATAAATGTATTGTGAGATTTGCCACTTCATTTCAGATTTCCACTAGGCATCACATTATGTGGGTACTTCCTTCTGTCTGAAGAGATACCTGCATACAACAGTGGTGTCTGTTAAGTCTGACTGACTAAGCAATGAGGCAGCTGCCATCGGTTTTGCACACAACCCTGGACTCATGCTTCGTGCAGATTAGAGATCTCAGATTAGAAAGCATGTAGATGTCAGTGTTTCAGCTCATTACCCTAAAAGGCTGGTCCGGGATGAAGGGGAAGTAAGCTATGGGTGCCTCTTCCTCACTCCATTTCCCAGAAACCCGTGCATTCCTCAGGAACTGCCTTTCGGTGAATCGTGCGCGGAGTTGAAGGGCCACATCAGTGAGCTCTTCATCATCTTTCTCCTCACTGTTACCACAGGTCAAACTGATGTCAAAGCTGTGCAGAAAACAAACATCAAGCATGTAAACAGCCCATTTCTGGTGCAATGCACTGCCTAAAGTTCTTGTTTTTTTAAAGATTCATTCATCGGTTCAAATATGTTTTCTATCTTATGTCATCATAAACATATGACAAGTGTTGCATGATGAAGCATTACAAACTGTGTGCCAATTTATCAAACATTACAGAGAAATAGCATGCATCTACTTTCCATGAATTCATAGTAATTTAGGCCTGCATTGGCATCCATCACCACCGCATTGAATGAGCATCACAGTGCATTCCTAATGGATCAGCAGTCTTGTTTAGAAAGGCTGAATTCCTCAGCTGAAATGACACATTAGTACCACTTAACCATTGATATATCAGGACCGTATTGGGCACGCTTAATTAAAATTGCTGCATAATTACAATTTAAAGACTAACCCACCAGTTTAACAAACTACTAAATCCTCTCAGGTCAGGAACCATTACTATACTCTCAAAAAAAAAATTTTAAAAAAAAGACCAGCACAAAAATGATTCCCAGAGAACGATACCGTCAAAATGCATACTGTTAACGCATTCCAAGTCACTTTGGATAAAAGTGTCTCCCAAATGCATAAATGCAAAAAGCATTTGGAACTAGTTTTAAAGAAACATTAAACTACACTACTGTTTTAAAGTTTGAGGTTAAAAAATATAAATTAATATTTATATAAATTCAATTAATATTATTCACCAAGAATGAATTACATTAAACAAGTGAAAGTAAAGACATATGTTACAAAAGATTTGTCAAAATGCAAATGTTTTGAACTTTATATTCAAAGAATCCTGAAAGCAAAATGTAATAAGGTTACCAACACCACAAAAAATTAAGCAGCACAATTGTTTTCAACTAAAGAAATGTTTCTTGATCAGCAAATCAGCATATTAGAATGATTTCTGAAGGATCATGTGACACTGAAGACTGGAGTAATGGTTGCCAATAATGCAGCTTTTCCAACACAGGAAAAAGTTACACTTTGAAATATATTCAAATTAAATAATTTATCCACAACATGCCTGTTTTTAGTGTATTTTGAGCAAATATATGCAGACTTGATGAGCATAAAAGAACTTTCAATTAAACAAACAACCAAAAAAAAATATATATATATATATATAAAATACTTCTTACCAAGCCCGAATTTTTAAACTGTGTAATATCACAAACAAATGTTAAGTCTTTTCAGTTTTGCCCATTCTTAGGCTCTCATATGGTACATGCCAGTTAGCGCTCCACTTCCTTACCTAAATACTTAAGCTTCAAAACTGCATGCATATGCATAAATGAAGCAGCAGTGCAACTGCAACAACGTGAATGGTGACTGAGAATGTTAGTAAATGTACCCCTAAAGGTGTGCGTGTATATATCTATACCCATATTTATGTATAGATCACCCTACAATAGAAGAAAATCATACAGGCTCGAACAACATAAGGTGAACGTGAACTACCTGTGAATCAAAAGATTTACCACTGATTATTTGAATCAACATACTAAAATGTTATGTTTCCAAGACACACCCAATGCTCTCACGGTTTTGATATTGGTTTCCTTAACAGCTAATATAAACACCCATCATCACTAAGCAGTGCGTCTCAAGCAGATCTACAACCCAATGCAACCTGAAACAAGAGGCTCAGTTTCTCAAAACATAGTGCTGCCTGTCAAGACAGCATATAGACCCATGATGCCCAAAAAATGCAGTTTAAGGGAGCCTACAAGGTTTTGAGACAGAGCTTCTGTCTGATGTAACTATTTGCAACTGCTAGAATGTGTACATTCTTAAATGTATGCAATTTTGATATGAAAACATACCTGTCTGGCTCTGGATCAATGATGCCCATTATTATGATTTTCTTCCCAGGCCTCATCCCACCTCTGATCCGTCCACTGAAAGGAACTGTCTGGTATGTCAGATGGGGAACAAAAAAAATCAATGCAACACAAACTATAGCATAAGATAACAAAGATGCTTTTTAAACATCATCTCTACCAGAATACGAGAGATGTCTTCTTTATCAGGGGAGATAAGCCCAGAATCTCCAAACGAATTAGTAAGGTGAACATCATCTTCGGTGTTCTTCAGATGAGAAAGAGAAGATTTACAAGTTACAAAAGCACTTAAATATGAGGAATGCAATAAAACACGAGCGCTGTATTGTAGACGCAAAAGATTTTAACAATAAAACGACACGGCTTCTACATCTGCACTAAAGCTTTAAAGACTGATGAAAAAAACATGATGTGCACTACATACATCAGAGCTAAAAGAACGCTTGAAGTATTCTTTGTCCTTCCGGTCTTCCACATCTGCATTTTAACAAAATCATTATGATTTTTTTCAACTCTAGGTGTGAGAAATGAACGAGTCATCTCGTCGCATGTGATGCAAACTGATTTCCACTGCGCTTCTTATTAAATGAATCGGTTTTATTAACAATAACGGCTATTTTACGAAAATCTGAAGCATTGTAAGATTTCAAAGGTATTTGTGACTTACTATCGCGTCCTTTTCCATGCTCGCCACCGCCATCTTGAACAAAATACCATAGGATGCTTATCAAAGGCGGTCCAGCCCAGGAATCTGTCAGTGTCGTGGCAGACTGGACAGGGAGCTGCAAGGTGCCTAAATTCAAGAAGAAAACTGTAAAACAAACAGAAATTCTCGAAACGAATTAAGAAACAACTCTATTGTGTAGCTACGTGTCAAAGAAATATGCTGACGCGGATTATTGTACGGGTGGAGGTTAATCCAGCCTCTATATGAACCTAATCTGCTCAAATCTCATTGGACCTGAACATAACTACCAACAGAATAATAAGTGGCTACAGTTAAACGCCTTTTTATTTAAAAACATGGCAATTTTCTTTCTTAAAGGTCCAGGATACTGTCACTGGAATTTGAAATGTTTGTAATGACTCATATTTTGTTAATAGGCCTATTACTCGAATATTTGCTGGTAGGTAAACATATTAATTGATTTGCATTTGTTTTGTTTGTTGTGTTGGATTTTGTTGGTTAATTCTGAGAGAAAGAATTTACATTGTTCCAGTATGTTTCTGATCTTTGAAATGTGCGCCCTCGACGAGCGGGGAGAGGGAGACCCCTAGTGGCAGATGACAAGAATGGCACCGCAGTAGTGATCGTGTTATAGTGGAACACGGTGAAATAAAAGTTCAAATTTGCTGAACATTTAACTCACCCTCGGTCCATCCAAGATGTAGATGAGTTTGTTTCTTCATCGGAACAGATTTGGAGCATTACATCACTTGCTCAACAATAATATACTCTGCAGTAAATGGGTGCCGTCATAATGAGTCCAAACTGTTGATAAAACATCACAATAATCCACACAACTCTAGTACCTCAATCAACGTCTTGTGAAGTGTTTAGTGCGTAAAGTCAGAACATGGCTAATTTTGAACGGCTGTCAATGGAGAAAGATGCTTTTCAGAAGCAGTTGGTGTAGTTACTGCATCTACCAGCAGAGGCTAACAAGGTCCAACTAAACCAGACCCTTTGTACAAACTGTTAACTGCAGTTAACCACCTAAATGAGAGCTTGAGGTTTTGGTCAGAGAGTGTGGTTGTGTGGTGCTTAAATAACTTCTATAAGAATTCCACTTCCCATTGGCCCTGCATCTAAATAAATAAGTACATTATTATTTTATATCTTCTAAAATACATGAATTTTATTTATTTTATTTTAAATTTTATTTCCAAACCACTTTGCAGAGTCATGGTATGCTGGGTCCTATCCAAGCATTTTGGGTTGTAGAGGGAAACACCTTGGACAAATGTAATTTTATATGTTATTTTTTAAATATTTATTTATTTTTATTTTATATATCATTTTATTTTGAGTAGGGTCATTACATCATATCCTTTTAAAACGAATGAATATTCTTTAACAAAGTGTGGACTTTTGGGTGACAGCATAAGGCTGCATGCACTGTGACCTGCACTGTCCAGAAGTGTATTTGAGCATGCAAATTTAATAAGTGTTTATTTAGCAGGGCCAGACTGTAATTAGGTTAATGCTGCAGTCACTCTGCACTGCTCTCCCACGGCTCCATTCTCCTCATCTGCTCCGGCGGAAAGCACCACAGACAGACCTGGCACTGCCCGCCATGCTCTGATCGTGCCCGCTTGGGCCTGCTGGACACCTCACCCACCTGCCACACATGACGCCAATGTATGATCCTCTAACTGACATTAACCGTCACCTGCTAATATGACTAACTGTAGAAAATGCTGTTGGAAGTGTTCCCGGGCATTAATGGAATAAACATCCGGTGAACAGCTGTAATAAACTTAGAATTTAGGATGTCATATTCAAGATCTTTCTTTCAGTCTGCTTCCCCCATATCAATATATTGCAATCTGTTTCTTTTTCTCTGTCTCACTCCCTCACTGAATATGGCTTATTGTGTGTTTTTGTGAATGTCAAGCTCCCACACACTTCCTCACACCCACTCTCTCCATGTAGCAGCTGTGTGGTCTGTTTCTTACTTCCTGTTCTGGCTCCTCACTCAGGGCCTTTCCCCTCAACACACACACACACACACACACACACACGGTCACAAATACAAGATCACATGAATTAATGTACAATCACATGACTGCCAAAACATTGCAAACACATTCACAGCAACACACCATATAAAACTGCATTGATCTGAATGAAGTGTCTGATAGCGAATCCCGTGTTATGCAACAGGTTTAAAAATCCAGCAAGTCTGACAGTCTTGGCTCCATCCTTTAGGGCTCAGCGTCCTTCATAATAATTAACTCTCCGTGACCTTTGATACAAATGTAACCCGGCATAAGCTCACTGTTATATGGCAAACTTTCATTCTAGTGAAACTTCTAAGCTTCTGTGGGGTCTGTATGTCTGCTGCCTTTAAATCTTACATTATCCACCATTGTTTTAAATTCACAGTCCTTGTTTGTGTTTCAGGTAACTTAAAAAAATATTTAAAATAGATTTTATTCATTTATTACATTTTACATTTATCAAGTCAAAAATATGATTTATTATGGCTAAATCATAATGAATAATTTTATTGAATTGACTTAATTCTACAGGGCAACAAATTGCAAGCTTTTTTAACCGTAAATTCAATATTAACAGTGTATTTTGGCATTAAAAAATAAAATACAAATTCAGAATTTTAAAAGGAAATCAATGCATGTTGTAACACGATAAATTACTTTATAAACAAACAAACAAACAAATAACGTGGTTATTGCATGATTGGATGGTCCTTGTTTTGAAGGATCCCACAATGGGGGAATACCCATAAGCCTTTACATTTCAAAAAATTTATTTGCTATGCTTGAGGAAGCATGGGGACTTAAAAGAGATAGTTTAAAATTCTCCTACTGCTCAGCCAGAGCATGGTGATAACAATGCCAGTGCTGTAGTGTTTTTGCCCAGGAACATACATACTGATAACATGCATAATGTAATGTATTGATTGGAAAATACATTAGAAGTTTGGCTCTATTAAATATTGCTCTTTTATTGACAATAATTGTTTCACCTGACGTAATGGTTATGGTGATTACTGTTGCTTTTGGTATGTAATGTAGATGATGTATAAGTCTTTTGCAGCTAATGCATTTAAAATTATGGCAAATTGGGAAAGTTCACTGGCTAACTCCAAGTCATTTGGTCAACTTTCAATCTATGCTTAATGTATCAGTATTCAAATATGTAAAACATGTATTCTCTATGTATTTCAAATGTTTACTATTATTATATTGTTAAACATTAATTTCAGCCTTACTTTCAGTCCTCACAATAGTTTTATAATGGTACAAAAGACACCTTTGAAAAAGACAACAGTGTATTATTTAGTGTAAATTGTTTAAATAACTGCTCTCCTGAAAACTGAAATTTAATTTGACATTTTTTCTTGAATGTCAGACATTAAGCCAATGAATATCTCTCTGTGTTGAAATTCTTCCTTTATGATTTATGATCTATATCAGACTGTCCAGATTCTGCAAACAGATGAATGTATGTATATTTATTTAATAATAATGATTCATTTAACCATAACTATATGTAATCAAGTACAGTAACATGTAATATCTGTAACATGGACACTGTAAATAAAGCATTACCATCTATTCTTCAGAGGAGGGGTGAAGATGCCGCTGTAGTGCACGATTCAAATTCCAGCCACAGGGGGCAGCTATGGGTTGGTGTGTGTGTGTGTGTGTGTGTGTGTGTGTGTTACATAAACGTGCAACTGCTTGTGTGCCTGCCTGAGCTGGGCTTGTAGGTGTGGCTTCTTTCCCTCCCACAGCAGAACAAGATCATTCAGATATTTGCACAAAGCCAACCTGACAGGGAGAAGGGGAGGAGAGAGAGGGGAGAGCAAGGCTCTTGCAGTCTCTCTCATTCTTCTTCTTTCTTCTCTCTCTTTCTCTCTATGCCTCCACAGAAACAAGGAAGACTGTCTGCCTCATGGCCTGTGAACTGAGCAGAATTAAATTAGAAATGCAGCTGTTTGGGCAGGTTGATTTCTACCTCTCATTCAATTTAAAGGGATAGTTCACTCAAAAATAAATATTTTGTCATTATTAAAGCTGCAGTCCGTAACTTTTTTTGGTTAAAAATGATCCGAAATCAATATTTGAGCAAGTACATAACCAGCCAGTGTTCAAAACTATCGCCTTACTTTAGCCCAATTCACAATGGTTAGCTTATAATAATGTTTTCTAATTTGAGTGGTACGGGTAGGTTTTCACGTGAAATTCGAGCATGGCACTGCGTCATTACATCACTTCTGTAAACATAAAGAAGTTATCCCGGTTACTAGGCTATCGCATGTGAGGATCCTGCAGGTGGCGGATCGTTTATAGCCTTTTCTCACAGCAGCTGGAATAATTAAATGTATCATTTTGATGGCAGATTGTAATCCAGAAAGGATTATGTGTTTATGAAACGTGAATGAAATTAAATTATATTCCAGTTATAAATGTGCTTCTGATTACAGATAGCCTGGGATTACAAAGATTTGTATTTTAAAGAAAACCAGTTCGAAGGGAGCATAATTTGCTTTTTGGGTTAAAATAATTTCTTAATATGAAATTCGAAGAGTATGACAATTAGATTAGACTGTGCAGAAATTGAAATCTTCTCGTTTATACACACTATACTCATAGTCACCAATACTGATGTTGTTAACATTAATAATTTGAGAATAAAGTATAACAATAATAATTTTAACGGTTTGATGTGATATGAGCTAACCGATCTTTAGATTTAATCACCATTGGTAGCCAGATTTATGGTAATGCTTTTTTCCTCAGTTGGTCAGAACAAACGTGGCAGACTTGTTACTTACTTGTTCAGATGGCAATATACAGTGAAAATTCTTATTTGGGTCATATTCCAAGACGTAGGCTAGAACCTGTGATTGCGAAGTACAGTAAATATCAACACCGGTGCGGTGACTGACTGCCACACATACTCTTCAGAACATTAGATTCATCTGCGCTGGAGCCGTGCTGACTCACAACCCACACAAGGAAGATAATTCCGCACACAGCTGCAATTCCAGGTTTTCAAACAGAGATGGCGACAGAGGCAAAACTTACGGACTGCAGCTTTAACTCAACAGCATGTTGTTTCAGATGAATTTAGGGGAATGTCCAAGCTGCTCTTTTTCTATACAGTAAAAGAGAATGAGTAGTAGGAGTACACAGTTAATCAAAGCTCACAGTAAAATA